CAATTTAGATTTTTTTATGTTATTTAGATAAAAAATTGAAAAATACAAACATCTTTCAATATTTCCTCATCATAAAAAATTAAAGACTTGTTTTCTCTGCCTTTAAAAACACAGAGTCCAGTTTCTTCCCCCAAAGTCTCCAAACCACGATTAAAAAACACCCAAATCTGATCTGGGATTATTAGAAATGACTGAATCTCCATCTTGATAACGAAGCAGAAAGATAAGACGTGGAAAAACATGGAACAAAACAGAAAAAGTGGTTCCAAAGTAAATTTATTTTGGCAAAAACCTGGTGAATAAACAAAGTGAACGCCAACGAAACAGGTCGATGATAATACCCAGAACTACTGACAGTACGACTGACCGTAGTCCTGGTTTAGATCTGGTTCAGTCCTGGTTTAGTCCTGGTTCAGTTCTGGTTTAGTTCTGGTTTAGTCCTGGTTTAGTCCTGGTTTAGATCTGGTTTAGTCCTGGTTCAGTCCTGGTTTAGTCCTGGTTCAGTCCTGGTTTAAATCTGGGTTAGTCATGGTTTAGCCCTGCTGTAATTCTGGTTTAGACCTGGTTTAGTTCTGTTTTAATTCTGGTTTAGTCCTGGCTCAGTCCAAGTTTAGTGCTGATTTAGACCTGGTTTAGTCCTGGTTCAGTCCTGGTTCAGACTTGACTTAGTTCTGGTTTAGTTCTGGTTTAGTTCTGGTTTAGTCTGGTTTTAGTCCTGGTTTAGTCCTGGGTTTAGTCCTGGTTTAGTCCTAGTTTGGTCCAGGTTCAGTCCTGGTTTAGTCCTGACTCAGTCTTCGTTTAGTCCTGGTTCAGACTTGGCTTAGTTCTGGTTTAGTTCTGGTTTAGTCCTGGTTTAGTTCTGGTTTAGTTCTGGTTTAGTCTGGTTTAGTCTGGTTTAGTTTAGTCCTGGTTTAGTCCTGGTTTAGTTCTGGTTTAGTTCTGGTTTAGTTCTGGTTTAGTCCTGTTTTACTTCTGGTTTAGTTCTGGTTTAGTCCTGGTTTAGTCCTGGTTCAGTCCGAGTTCAGTTCTGATTTAATCCTGGTTTAGTCCTGGTTCAGTCCGAGTTCAGTTCTGATTTAATCCTGGTTTAGCCCTGGTTTAGTTCTGGTTTAGTCCTGGTTTAGCCCTGGTTTAGTTCTGGTTTAATCCTGGTTTAGCCCTGGTTTAGTTCTGGTTTAGTCCTGGTTTAGACCTGGTTTAGTTCTGGTTTCATCCTGGCTCAGTCTCAGTCCTGGTTCAGTTCTGACTTAGTCCTGGTTCAATCCAGGTTCAGTCCAGTTTCAAACTTGGTTTAGTCCATCTTGAAATTACAGGTTTAGCTTTAGTTTTTTGTATTATTATTATTATTATTTTTCTGTATTTTTTTTTAAGCAGAATAAGACAAAAAAAGCAGTTTGTGGTCAAATTTATACTTAAAAAAAATCACAGCCTTTCTTATTTTCTCATCACCTTCATTCAAACTGTGATTTTGATTGCCCTAATTCTGTCTCCAAGAAAAAAAAAGTCTATTTTTTGCAATCCCACCCACGCCAAATACTCCGCAAACACGTCACGGTCTCTTCTCAAAACTCCTCTCCTCCTCCCCTCGTTTTTTTTTTTTTTTTTTTTTTTTTTTTTTTTTTAACGCCCTCTCCTGCGCGAGCGTCTCCGGGAGCGCGTGGCCGATAACCTTTGACCTTTGGCACGGAGCGGTCCCCGGCGGCGGTATTTGGATTCGGTCGGATCAAAAACCGGGGCGCGTGTGCTTTGGGTCACACATTAACCCGAGGCAGCGATAAAAGTGCACACGGCTGAACTCTACAAGGCCTGAGCTTATCTGCGCCGAGAGTGAAAGCGTCAGATTGTGATGTGGACACGGTGGGGAAATCTGCAAACACAAACACGGCTCCACGGGTTTTTGGGAATTAAACTGGATTAAAAATAAAAGGGAGGAAAAAAAAAAATGGGAATAATGAGTTAAAAGGTTTGAGTTATTTGTTTTTGGCTGCAACTCTTGAAGTTGTAGTTTAGTTAATTTAGAAAGACAAGAAAGTTATTTAAATGTTGTCCTGGTTCAGTCCTGGTTCAGTTCCATGTTAGTCCTGGTTCAGTCCTGGTTTAGTCTTGGTTCAGTCCTGGTTCAGTTCTGGTTTAGTCCTGTTCAGTCCTGGTTTAGTTCCCTGGTTTAGTCCTGGTTTAGTCCTGTTTCAATCCTGGTTTAGTCCTGTTTCAACATTGGTTTAGTCCTGGTTTAGTCCTGTTTCAATCCTTGGTTTAGTCCTGATTTAGTCCTGGTTTAGTCCTGGTTTTCAAGTCCTGGTTTAGTCCTGTTTCAGTCCTGGTTTAGTCCTGTTTAGTCCTGGTTTAGTCCTGTTTCAATCCTGGTTTTAGTCCTGGTTTAGTCCTGGTTTAGTCCTGTTTCAATCCTGGGTTTAGTCCTGTTTCTCCTGGTTTAGTCCTGGTTTAGTCCTGTTTTCAATCCTGTTTAGTCCTGTTTCAATCCTGGTTTAGTCCTGGTTTAGTCCTGTTTCAAGTCCTGGTTTAGTCCTGTTTCAGTCCTGGTTTAGTCCTGGTTTAGTCCTGTTTCAATCCTGGTTTAGTCCTGGTTTCAGTCCTGGTTTAGTTCCTGTTTCAGTCCTGGTTTAGTCCTGTTTC